TTGCCGTCTCACAGCGGGAGGCCGTTTTTTTTTTGTAAACCATGGGCTAAAAATTGCACGAATTTTCGTCTCTCCTGATGAAAATTCGTGCAATTTTTAGTAGCCGATGGTTTATACCCGTAATTAAAACGTTTAATTTTGTTCAGCAAACTATAGATTTGCTGAATCAACTAAATCAGTTTTTTCCGTGAAGCGTTAAATGACATTTACACAAGTCCCGAGAGAAAGAAATAATTTATTAATCTAATTATAAGTCTAATTTATAATTACACATATATAATATTTATAAGAATTGTTTTCTACGATAAATATTCCCCTCTCGTGACAACTGTGACAGTTTAAAGAGTATCTTCGACCTCGGCGACTTCGCGGATAGAACTGATCTCGTACGGGTCTTTCGAGAGCGACATTCCTGGTTCTGACGTGTGCGAACGCGTGTTTGTCCGCGCGCGAACACAATCGTATCGATTAGAGTCGCCCTTATTACGGCTTCCCGGATAGTCTAGGCGCGCTTTTGTTGACTCGGGTGCCATTAACACGGATTTCGTAATTCCTTCGCTGCCGCGGATCCGGCTGAGGTGACCTCGCTAGAGGTGGAAGTGACGTAAAGGCGCTCGTTTGAGGCGGTCTTTTCGCAACGAAAGCGCAAGAAGGGGGGGAATGGAGATTCTCTCCTTACCTCTTGACCCTCCCCTTTAATCGGATCGCACCGAGGACGAGACCCCTTTGTTTCGTAAGCAAATAATGGCCGGCGCCCCATTAATCGAGACCTTGCAAAACAACTTTGCTCGTTGCGGGGCAATGACCGACTTTTCGGCCGAATTTCGTGCTTCCCTTCTAACGACAGGGGATGTTTGTCTCCCTCTTCGGTGGAGAGCTTATTTAAGTTAGGATAGGAGACGGTTTTCGGGATAAAAGTCAAGCTTCTAGATAACACTTGTTCTCTTGCTGCTCCAATCAATCTGTCTGGCTTGTGGCAAGATGTGCATTCTTTATGCGCGTCTTTGAAGGACCGAGTTATACAATCGATCCTGATATACATTGCAAACGTCATCAATTAATCGAATGAAAAGAGTCTGCATTTGTTTGCGAAGCTGATATCTTCATTCGTTACGCTGAAAACAATTTTTCGCTATCGTGGCTGATCATGATTTGCAAAAAATATTTTGCTGCCATAACTATAGATTTCTAAACCACAGCAAACGGTTTACTGATACAATAGGCGCAGTGGCAAAATATTGAGCTATTTGATAAACACCATGGAATTTCCTTTCCAGAAAGGACACGTGCCTTTATCTTTTAATTGCTTTCCCTTTAATCTTCATTTTCTGCCGTCGCGCGGTGTACCTTGAAACAGGGCCTCGGGACCGAAAAGCCGATAGCTCGCCATTGATCGTCACGTACGATTGCTGTTTCGTTTAGGGAACATAGACCGAGCTTAAGCGAGGCCATCGTGCACGAGTAACGACGGATTCGTGCCCCGGCATTTCGTGGCGACGCAGGAGAGCGAGACCCGCGCGGAAAGGGAATGCAGGAGCGGTAATGCAACACGCCGCCGTGTCGGGCCGCACCGGTGCAATCGCGACGGCGCTCTATTTATTGCGCTTTATTTGCATTCCCGGCGGGTTACACTCGATTTTTCGCGTCCTTCGCGTTCCGCCTTGCCCCACCGTACACGCCGTAGGGATCGTCGAAAGAGCAACGAGAGAGCGGCGGCGAAATTCGGTACCGTTGACGTTGACAGAGCGAGAGACAATATTTACCATGCTCTTGAATACATTCTTTCTGGACGGCTAAATGCGTGGCTGAAGGATATATATTATACGATATACGCAGATATTGTAACAACAAATAATAATGTTATTAATTGCCGAGAAAGAATTATCGCGAAAGTGATATTGCAAGATTTAATATCATATTGTATAATAAATGACACCGTGATTTTACAGAAAACATATAATTTTATACAATTATGACGGCGAGATGAAAATTTAATGACATATCTTACAAGGGTTGTTAGGAGTCTTCTTGTAAAATCGAATTTAAGCACACTCTCTTCTCATGAAAATTGGTTTAGAACTTTAAATCTCCTAATTCAAAACCAGTTAAAATTATCAATTAAGATAAATTATTTAAAATTTAACTTATATATTTGTATATTAATTCCGAGTTTAGTTCCCGTTATGTTAACATGGAGATCAGTTTGTAGTTAAGACAAATAATTTACATAAGCATTAGCTACGGTGTTAATTACCAACGATGTTAATTCGTGCAAACTTTAATTAGCACAGCATTTAAGGTCCGAAAAGATGCATCAAGTTCCGCAAAGCAAGCGGAATATGCAAAATTCTCGTCAAATGCGATAATCACTTTTCTTAAACAATCTGTGTACGTAAAAGCTGCGCAAGGGGAGAAAGATTTTGTGACTTGTAATAAACCCTCTTTATATTTAAATCTATGCTGTGATATTCATATGAGATGTTGAAGCTTTAATAATAGTAATGAAAAATGTAAATTCGTATGTCTAGCGAGCTTGAATTGACTAATGCAACAGTGACGTCGCGACATTTGCCCGATGATATAATACAGGGACAACTTGCCGAATTATCAAAATATATACAAGGTGCGTCGTAAGCTGCACAATATATACCTACTTTGCAGAAGTGTGGCGCATATATTGCGTAATAGCCGCGTTGTCGTTCTCACAGAATTCCAAGCGGATAATCCAATCTCTTAGTAAACGTGTATTGTGCGTCCTAATTATGCTGATAAGAAACTTTGAAGATTACGAAATAGAGTTGCATAGCGGCACACAGGAACTACGCTCTGTGACCTTCTATTGCAGATTTTGCGATTATTTGTTATCGCGAAGAGAAATGCGTCGCACTGTTGCATAATGAGTTGCATTATCAGGGATGCTGTGAATAAATACTTGGCGATGGCACGTGTGCGATGTGTGATGGCCGAGAAGTAACTTTGCACTTAAATGGTTGCCCGCAACGGCTGGGCGCGAATATGCGACGAAACGCCGCGAGGGGAAGTTCGTAACGATCGTAAAGAACCACTGTCGATGAAACCAACGCGCCTCCGCCAACGTACCGCGATCGTAAAAATCACATAATGCGGTGCGAATGACCGAAGTTACCCACGCAGCCGACACCTTCTGTAATGGTGAAATACGAAAATACAAATTTGCTGCACGTTCAGCGTACGTCAGGTTGCTGTTACGCGCATAAAACATACTCGTTTCCAATAAAAATATCCATGCTATCGTAAAGAAGACAAATTAAGGCAGTGCTTGATAATTTTCACTTTATTAGATATGAGAGATACGTATTTGGCTGTTTTGGAAGGCGATAAAAAGTAATTTATTTCGGCAAGAAAGAGAAATATTTCTTTTTTTAATATAGTAATATTTCTATTTTAACCTATTTTAACCTAAGATACAATTTAGATTAAAAGCATTATCGTTAGAATCTTTTCCTTACGTTCAGTAATTTTAGTATGATTTAGTATGCCTACAAATAAATCTTAAAACTTAAAGATTGAATTACTCTCTACGCACTTATAATACTTTTACTATACGTCTACTTTTACTTACACTTTGTGTGAAAATTATAGTTCGTATTATTGACACATAAAATAACAGATTTCGTTAGTAATATGTTGATAACATTCCAAACAGGTTTTCGAATATGATCTGCCGAAATCGATATCAGAATGGTGATTATGTAATTTTAGTATGAATATTAATGTGCTTCTACAATCTATGCCCTGTTAATTATTAATACCGACCAATCTGCTATAATTAACGGCCACGTATGCTACATGTGAATTATGTGAATATTAAGGACAGCTTATCTCTGCCATCATTTGATTACATATAATTTACCAATAGTTCAAACGTTTCTCTTTGCCATGATTATTGTTGGAGCGTTTAACATAACACTTTAAGTTATCACATTTCTCTCTCATGGTATTCTCTTTTACACAATCGCTATTTATGATGATTTAACATCATAAATGATTTACAAATTATTTCTACAGTACTACCTAATCTACAATGTGCTCTTTGCGCCTAGAAACATTCTATTTTGTAACCAAGAAATGCGTTTGAAAAATTTGTGCAAGCTAAAATATAATGTTTCTAGACGCGAAGAGCACATTGTAGATTGGGCTTAAGTATTTTAACTCACAATCAAGTATTTAATATCGGCCGATATTTAATTGAAATATAATTGCAATGAATTATTATAATAGCATATTAATTTTTAATATATTTTACTCAACATACATTTTATGCAGAATGTTTCGTGCGATTGACGGCGTTTCGTTGAAAAGAAAACGTTAGGGTAAAATATTACCATCCCCTTTTTACATCGCAGGCGAACTGGTACAGAGCTTCGCAATACTGTCGTTATCACGGGATGCATCTGGCGAGTATAGCCTCGCAAGAGGAGAATGATAGACTTGAGAAGCATATCAAGGACTTCGGTCTCGGCCACGAGCATTTTTGGACCTCTGGCACCGACCAGGCCGAGGAGGGGACTTTTTTCTGGATGGCCAACGGTAGGCCGATCACGTTCGAGAATTGGAACGTCGGTGAACCAAATAATTTCCGGTAAGGGCGCCTTACGATCGCAAACAATTTACATTCCTTCTGCAATCGATCGCGCAAATTCCATCTACCCCTACCGCTTGCGATACGATTGCCATAAATCGGTTATTGAGGTACTAGAATTCATTCCTGGTGAAAGTTGTTGATTTATTCCTTTAGACTCTTTAATGGAGAAATTGCTTTAAATTTAATGAAAGTTTTGGTGAAAATGTAATCTTTTATATTACAATATTTCTAATATTGACGTAATTAAAATATCTATAATTATATAACATGACATTTTTTATATTATACATCTTTCTTCTTTGAAAACAACTAGAAATTAAATGTGTAATTTTGATTTTTATCCAAGACCGATACAGAGAATACGTTATTAAACATACTTTCTCTGTAATTTTGATTGTTAAATAAAAATAACGCAGATCTCACCTAATATCTTTATTTTTATTCCAGATATGAAAACGGCGAAGAGGAGCATTGCCTGGAGCTCTGGAACAGGGACGGAAAAGGACTCAAATGGAATGACAGTCCCTGCAGCTTCGAGACTTTCTTCGTCTGTGAAGTGCAGTGATCAATTCGCGAAAAAGACCGGAGAAAGGGACTAAACGCCCGGGAATATTTGTGAGCAAATCACCGGTTTGCGGCGTGTCCTCAAGGTGATCCTCAAGGAAACTGCGCGTGACGTTCTCATCGGCCGTCCGTTCGTTTCAGTGGACTTAGTAAGGTAGAGAGAGACTTGACGTGACATGTGCGCTCGGACTGAAAATGATGCGTGATTAGTCGGTCGCTACCGTTGTCACGTTTCACGTGTCCTGAATTCACGAGTGTGTGCGCAAGACGACACTCGATTCAGTCGGTCCTTTTTGTGAAAAATCACCAGGCGACAAACCGAGCGTTGAATAAATTCGCAGTGTCGGACGATAAAAACGATTTGTTCGTCCCTTGCGCAGAGGCAGCTCCAGGCAAAGTGCTTGACACTAAATTATACAACGTATTTGATACTCACAGATTTAGAGTCTCGTTTGAAATTCAAAGACTAATAGATAATTAACATAACTGTTTTTAAAAGCAGGAAAGATAAGCTTTAGAAATTTTTTACATGTTCATGTTTTAAGCAAATATACATGTCTTTACATAAATTTTTAGATATGTGACTATTGGTACATTTCATATACTTCTTATTGTTCATATCTTTTCTAAAATTTAGTTTTACCTCTGCTTACCAAGATCTTACAAGTCACTGCGTGAAATCTCACAAGTCAAAGCGCGATCGAAGGATCGACTGGCTAACGTTTTGCTATACCTTTGATGACGCATGGTTTTGACAAATATACCTTGATTAAGAAATTCTTTGATAAAAAGCATATATTAATATACGTATTATAGAAATGCAAGCATTCGTAATTATTGGATACATAGATTAGCCAATATATCTGCAAGAAATTATTCTTGCAAGACATAAATTCTTGCAGATACGTTCTTTATTATCCAATCAAATTAGACGATTATTTAGCAATTAAAGGAACGATTGAATCGATTTGTCGATCTTACATATAAAATACATAGTTAAGTCGAATAATCTCTCTTCGACGTTTACTAATTTCACGAGTGTGTGCTAAACTCCACCATACTTTAGTTCTTTGTATCTTAACATATACATACGTAAACTGTATATATTTACGTCGCACATTAGATAATGACTTGCTGCAAGTAACATTGCTAGTAGTACGAACAAACCAAAAGACTCTCTCGTGATGCTATACTGTTCGAAGTGCAGTCGTTCACTTGCTTACTGTGACATTGCGTCAGATTCCTAAGTAAAACGCCTCGTTAGCAGCGACCGTGACCGTCACCGATTTTAATCATTTATGAAAATGAGGATCTTAATCATTTATAAAAAATAATAGTCTAATAACAGACTATTTACTTTTGTAGTTTTTCGTATCATTGAAAATTTCAGATAAAATACAAAATGTTTAACTTGTATTTCATCTGTCTCTGAAAGCTAAGATTTTTTAACTCCTAGATATACAAATTCGAAAGCTATCTTTATACTTTCCGAAGAACGATGAGCTTTTTGAATTTGTCGATACTTAAAATCATGGAATTCTCGTGACGTCTGCATTTTAAGTTTTTCTACGTAATTCGAAGAAGATATTTGTGTATCAAATTCGATAATTTAAAAATCTCAATCTTTATTTCTTAAAATCCTTCCTTAGCATGGCGCACGCGAATCTCTAATTTTACTTTTATAATTGGAGACGAGCGGCATGTATGAATGAAACTATGGCTCGTTTGGTATCATAATGGTCACGATCTACGTTAATTGGGTCACAGTATAAATGAGCATCGTGATAGATCTCGTTTGGACAATAGGTAGCCTTCATGGCAAATGAAACGAGGGTTCATCGTTATGTTCTATATATTCTATGTATTCGCCGTCAAAATTTACAGAAAACGGCGTTATACATGGCATTATTTAGCGTTAAATAATAAAATCAAAATTATTCTCTGATATACTTGCTCTCGCCTGCGTTTTATCACAAGTTTAAGGGTTTCATTATTTTAGCCTATTAAAATATTAATTAATGCATCCAATCGTTAACGCCAAATTTCCTGACTATTCTTTTTTCCGCCCTTATTACGGTGAAACGGATAACATTTATGAACAATACATTTTTATATTAAATTTAATTTGCGAAATTTGGTGCTGGATTGTGTATCATGCGTTTTGTTAATTAATTAATTCGTTTATTACATTTTCTGATTCAACGCTAAATACTACTGTTGCATTTCCGGAATTACGACAGTAAAATATTGGTAGTTGTAAATTATTTATATTGAACGGGAGAATTGGAAAATGTGAAATACAATTTGTTATTTTATTTCACGTTATGTACATTAAATTAAAAGGGATAATTATTCTAATTACTTTAATAATTAATGGACGCGACCTATCTGTGCAAAGTTTTCTGACATATTATTTTATATTCTATTTAAATTTTGCATCATATTATTAATGAAAATTTTGACCTTTTAATTATCGGGACTTATTGAGTGCACTTTACAAAAAATGTTTTATTGTCTCTATCATTTTCCTAGTCTTCTGTATCAAGAGTAAGTCCATTGAATTTTATCGAAGTAAATATTAAAGGAGGTAGAAACACGCGCAATAACGTTTGTATGCCATTGTCGTTCAGCGGACAAATATTCTTCGCATTTTAATGGTTTCATTCACATTGGCCGGATAAATTCGCCAGCTAATCATTTCCATTTCGACTGTTGTTGAACCGTTTTGCGTAGATATGTGTGGACGATAAAGCAGATAAAAAGGAGCGAGAGAGGCGTGCCTTTAGATATACATTCAGATTCGTTTTATTTGCACCGCTCGTCCGTCCACTATAACAAGCAATTTATGCCGCACTTTATTTAAGCGGCAATAAATGCAGATTTACTTGAGAAGCGACGGGGTTCCGTGGAGGGCCATAAACAGTGTGCAACAACGCACATTCAATGCAACAGTGGGTCCGTTCCCATTCTTTATGACGCGGATCTGTCGTAATGCGATACGCGTGAAATCTTTAACATGTGACCACTGCAGCAATGTGTCCAGGTTTTCAGATATTTATCGGGTGACCATTGGGCGATCTTGTCGCAGTTTCACTTGCGCTCTTGCGACTGTAAAACGGATTTGCGATCGAGTAAACATTGCTAACATTATTTCCAGATCTGTCGTAAATTTACGGTCCAATCTGGATTTACGCGTTCGAGGTTTCTGATTTTTATTTCGCTTAAATCACACGGTCGTGTAAATTGCAATCACTGAGAGAGCAATACTACATGGTTGGGTAAAAAATATTTCACACCATTGCCTTCTTCGTGAATTTAATTTACCAATTTTAAACGACGTATTGCTTACAAGAAAAAAAGTTACTGCCGCATAACTTTAATTAACGTGCAATTTTTTGCAATTTCTAACATTTTTTCTACAACACAGTTTATCTACAGTATAAAATATATAAATCGCTATATATGAGATTTCTTTCCAAATATGGTTTATCGTTTATAGTTTAAGTGGAAATCTATTTGATCGAGAAACTACAATGTTCACAAAAATAAATATTTTATGGAGATTTAATAATAAGCTACCAAATACCTTCACTAGGACCTCCGTTAAATTTATAATATTCAGTTCCATGATACATTTAATTTAATACCTCAGTTATTATCAGCAATCGTTGCTATTTGCTAACTTTTTGCAAATTCAATAAACGCTAACTCTTGCGTATGTTCTTTCCTTTATCGACGACTGAGAAAGCACGTATCTATATTTTCTGCTACTGATAACGACAATTTGAAAGCAACAGTACGATGAGACATAAGTATAAAATATTTATAATATTTATAAATGAATGCATATTAATGGGACTAATATTAATATTGAAATATTAAAATAAAGTTAACATACGTGATAAAAAGTTATTTGTATTAAAATACATTGCATTTAGCAATAACAAAGTTTGGTATACGTAATCATATCTTTCTTAATTCTTTAATAATATGTTATTAATTATTATGACATATAATCAAAATTACAAATACTGGAATCTTCTGGCATATCAAGTGAAACTTAAATTTTACGTATAACCATATTATAAACGAAATCAATAATTTATTTCTAAGCTCTTTTTACTCTACATTACTCCCTTTGTCAAATGTCAACACATTAAGCAAGAGGCGAAGAAAATATACTAAGCAAGAGGAGAAGAAGAATGGTAACGCCTCGTACAAAACAACAATGTTTTATTGGAAACAACATACAATCACGTACCACGTATGTTCCTTATAAGCCCTTTTAATGTTCGTGCGTTCTGCCAAGACGTGCACGTTACAAATACAATTGCTCCGAGTTCGCGGAGCAACCCCGTTCGACCCATTCGAGTTTCACCCTCGCCCGTTCACTCTCGCCGCGGAACTCACGAACGCCGTTCCATACGGGCAATAGTTTCACTTGACGATATCGCGTGGGCTCTTTTGCTCTCCCTTGGGCTAGAAACACGTAGTAAAATATCCCAGACCCAAGAGAGACAGACGGAAGTAGAGTCGGAAAAAGAGGGAGCAGGGACCCTTATTATTGCCGCAAGGGTCCCGATCGCGAGGTTTCATTTCCGAAGCTGCGCTCGCTATAAAGGGCTTTGCCTAAAGGGCTAAATCCTAAAGGATTTTCTGTTTGCTAATCCTAGTCCTCGGCGACAAAGACGGAAAGCGAGGACGAGAGGATCCATCGGAGGAGACTTCCTATTATGTACATACAAGTACACCGACGAGTACGATATACTATACACGAGTTCATACACCTCAGGTATGCGCATACTCATATGATCTAATTGTGATGTCACAGCAATCTTTTCGGTTGGCACAAAACGGCGCGACCCTTCACGCTCGGATGCGGCGCCTTCGGTGATTTCATATCTAATCTAGGGTTAGAATTTTCTTTTCGCGACAATGAGCTCTGAGATCGTAGCCGCAACCATTTCGATGCAACAATCGAACGTTATATCGCGAGGCGATGAAAATAACTTAATTTTTCGTTGATTCGCGCGAGTACACCTTTCGAAAATAATGGGTAAATAAAGACAACTCTCCAATTTACTTAGAATTTAATTTATACAAGAGTACAATAAGCGAGAAATTTAAGGAAACTTTAGATAAAGAAAGATAACGTAAATAATTACGTTTTAATACTTCAATCACTCGTGTGTGTGACCCGACTAGTTTTGAAATAAAATAACTTTTGGACCATAAGTCGCTGAAAAGTGGCGTTTTTATTCGTTGTATCGGCGTCGTATTCGTTGTACCTCGCGCAATGCAACGTAAATTTATCATTTTTCACGAAGAATATTTAAAAAGAGCGACGTTAATATTCTTTACTTTATATAATCTACATTTTTTAAAAGTTGATTAGTTCGATAAGACACCAATTTTTTTTACGAGACGTACCGAATTGCTGCAAAAGATTGATCGTCCACTTCTTTTGTGACACTTGCGCAATTTTGATCAAACAATTAATCAAAACGACTGATATGATTTAATTTGTCACCTACAAACTTCTAGAATTACTTATAAATCTTTTATTTGAATACAAAATTTCGGCCGAGACAGATTTTGCCCGGCAAGAGAATGTCCTTGTTTGAATAGTTCATCTTATATACACATAGAGAGATTGCGATCGAAAGAGTTTCGGCTAGCAATAGAAAGTTTAAAAGGCGAGGGATTTGAGTCCGACAGAGATCACGAAAGAAAGTCGTTTGTCATCGACCCTCGGAAAAATTCAGCGTACGTCTAATAGTTACAAGTATGGGGAGTTCGCAGCGACTACCATACTGGAAATTATTAAGGCCGCTATTTCGTGTGTGCGCACAGTGATTTTCTTTCAGGGCTTTCCAACCACTCCGATTGACGAATCGTTGTGATAGATTTCACGTTGTTACAAGCATTGTCCTGTACATATTGTAATTGAGTTTCGCAATCATTTGAGTTATATAATAAGGAAATATAAGTAAGAAAATTACGTAAGTTAGAGGGTAAATTTTTCATCAGCTTTAGTTATATGAATTAAAAGTGCGTATCTTGAAATAAATTTTACAAGTATGAAAATTTGTAACCTCCGTTTATGCGTGATTCAAGTTTAAGGAACATCGTAACGCGAGCTGCAGTAGCGATAATATTGCACCGTAATAATTTTGGAATGATTTGACAGAAACAAAAATAAAATATAGTTTACAAGTAACAAGAATCCTAGAAATAATAAAATTGAAGCTCATATGCAAATCAATTTGGATATTAAATAACCTCACGATCCTTATCTGCGCTGTAGCGCAAAGTTACTTTTCGCTGGTGCAATCTAATTTTCGCTTGTAGCACTCGTCGATTCTTTCATTCGCATAAGATTGCGTCTCGCAGAAAACAAACTCTTGCGCAGTGGTTTAACTCGCTACACTCACTTCTCTTTATAAAACCTACAATTGTGTATATAAAGGAAACGTCTGACAAATGCAAATCGATTTGTGTCATGCTCTAGTCGATTTTCATTTCTTTCGCAATTCACGCGCTGTATCGCTGTGTCACCTCGCCGTAGATAAAAACCAGCTCGAAGTTAGGCAGTGTCTGGAGTACGTCGCTCCACGATCAATAGTGACTGCTTTAACATCACATTCGATATAAAGGCCCACGGCGTATATATATTCACATATAAAATTAATTAAATCGCATCGTCCGCGCCGTTTGCAGTTTCAATAGACGCTCAAGCTAATCGTGCTCTGAGCGATATTGAAAAAGCGACAGGGAATATGTGTTACAATTCCTCCGTAGTATTAACTCCCGCGTACACATAAATTCTCACGTGTTCCATTAGCGTTTAATGATGAGTAATTAATAAATCAAATCGTATGATTACTTCATCCTATTAATCTTATTAGTTAATTAAGCTAATGGATCGCTAATCGTTGCGCCGACGTAAATAATCGTGCCGTATGATAACGCACGGTAATCCACTTGATTAAGAGGACTGCTCGATAATAAACGCATTTCGAGGAGCTTTCTCACCGCGCCGTGGCAGACAGTTGGCAAGTTCGAGCGATACCGAGATAGACCGCGAGTGCGCACACCATACAACGGGAAATTACCGAAATGCAGGGGCACTTTGCATTTGTAGAGAACGGTCGCTCGGGTGGATTAACATAATCGGCAGGTGCAAGCTTACGAATGCACACGCATGCAGTGGGTGGGGAAAGGGAGACTTATAGCAGCTGAGACGTAAAGCGAAGAGGAATCGCACGTGTGGAAAGTTCTCGCCGCCTGAGCGAATCGCGAATGCACTCTGAAATCAACAAGGATCGAAAATCCTTGTCACGAAGTCTCATACTCCATTCAGACCTGTAAGGGGATTGGATCCGTTCCACACGCTCGCCCGAGAGTTCTCAGCGTAGCAATGGGAATCCATGTGTGAAAAAGACCTCGCGTATATAAGGATCTTAGCTTTAAAAGTTTAATTAGAATCATATGGCATGTGTAATAGTTTGGAGCTGGCAGTACTGCCATAATCAGCTTTGGATTATCCAAATATCGCACGTATTAACGCAGTTTGCAATTTTTATTAAATCGTATCGAACATCGTATGTGCATTTCAGTGTTTTACCCGTTTAGTATATAAATTCTCGTAAAAATGTAACAAAGTATTTCCGTTATTCTAAGTACAGAAAATTCTTATAAATTATATTTAAACATACGTAAGAGTCTATGCAACAAAATCAAACGATTAAAATAGTAAAAAAGTATTGTGATAAATGAAATAATTTGATAAAACAAATTTATTGTTAATATTTCGTGTGAAAGAAACAGTTTTCTAAAAATTTAAGCTACACAGTTTTCATACACGCTCAATGGACATAGAAATATACCTGAACGTGTAAGATCACTTACGCGAATGTCCGAGCACATAGAAATTTCAGCGACTCTGCCGGCTCCATTATTATCATAATACATTCGAATACACCATGCCAATATTCTGGGGATAATTATCTCGCACTTGACTTAACAACGTAACATTTCCCTTTATCTTTAACAACAACAGTAACAACATTTTTTTTTTCTTCCGACAGCAATGTCTTAAAATACTCCGCGGATGACGAGGATTTGCGTCCCAACTCATCCACGCACGCACATCGCACAATAATTACAGATAGTTAACGATTTTATGGATGGGATTAAGCGAAATTGATCGCGAGCATCTCGAGGTCTTTCGTATTTCTGCCTACGAAATATGCTCCGTTTACTTTATTTCGCATACAACTTAATAACGTGCACTGCAAGTCTGGAAAGCATAATTTTACTAAAAGTAGCCAAAGAAAAAGCAGAAACTCAATGATGATAAGTGTAAACTGATAATAAAGAATTCTTTGGAATGTTTTCAACACGTCATTATGCGATTAACGAGCTTATTTTGCGCGCAACATTGCGGTAACACTTTATGTTTCATTCTTTGAAAAGGAACACTGTAACCTGCAATGCACTTTAAAGCTAATACGAGTGCAGTTATGTACAGCGACGTAAGTCTTAAAATTTTTATCTTAATTCTTGAATCCGATGCGCACGTGAAACTCGAAATCGCTCGAGGGGGTTCGTTATTTCGAGTAATCGTCATCCATTGCGGATTGTCAGGATGTTGTATCGAAGACTGTAACAACATTCTTTCTTCAAGACTATTAACGACTTACGCGGTCTACAAAAATCTATAAAATTTACATATAGTTTTGCAAAATATCTAAGAAACATATAAAGAATTGTTATCGACTGATCGTTTTTCTGCAGATTCGACATAAATCGCAACTTTAGGCATCGCGTTTTATTAATAGAGATGTAAAATATTTCACACAGATGCGAACATTTATCAGTTTTTCGTTTGTAATATTTTTGATTCACTGAACCGTCATTGTTGCCCTTTTCGTTTGTTGATTATGTTTATTCTTGCTTGATATTCTCTTTTTCCGATTTAAAAATGACCTGTCCTGACACTCCGCTATACGCGCGCATTATGGTTCGACTTTTATCTCATATTTATATATGTTACTTCTTCTTTTTGAGCATATTACGTCTTCAAGTAGGTTCCTTTTTAGAATATTTCATTGTTTTGTATGTGACCATATTAAATATATATGTTATACTATACTTTTTTATAGTTATACGGACTCATTGACACTAACTTTATTCGACATACAGGCTTATATATCATGTAAATATTTCGTATGGTACACATTGACATTTTCCATCAAGATATCGATTAGGTTTCTCAGTTTTTGGATTCTTTTCGTGTCGTTCGCATCGACGTATTACCATATGACACTTATTTCAAAACTGGCACGAGTTCGTACAAATTTTTATGTGTCCCTTTTAAAAGATTTAGGAATTTCATAACTATCTATTGCATTGTTGGTGCCTGAATAATATGTGCCTTTTTCTCCGTGACCTTGGTTCCAGCTATCAACAGTAATTGAAATTTTTCCAATTGTCTTTCTTGCACTGGCGACTCCTCTAAGTAATTATATTTCAAGTTATATAAAATATAAATTAAATATTAAAATAGATCAAAGATGACAAGGGATAACTGACAGAGAACAAGAATTATTTAAAATACAAGTAAGATACACTTACTACATGTGTTTTAAATAATACATATGTATACATAATACAACATAGTTAAAAATGCAATAAGCCTTTTCAATAATTTTATGAATAACATATCATAAATTAAAATTAAATCAGAAAATACTTAGATTGAAAATCGACATTAAAATATTGATTCGTGTCTTAAAAAAAAATAAATTGAAATTATTCTCTCTAAAAATAGCAGTGAGATAAATAAATAAATATCCAGATTTATAGATAACATAAATGCTGAAAGGTTAATGAGAAATTAGGATTAAAATAAATGAAAACGCACAATTCACAATGCGATGATCTAATTGTTTCTATTTTTGCAAAAGTTCCATCAATATCTATATAAAATTTCTACTGTTGTTCATTAATTTACAATTATAAAAATATATAAGTATTTAATGGAAAAAAAATGATATATTTAATGGAAACTAATTGCTTCAATGAGATAATTGCGTCTTAAAGTATTCTAAAATAATTAAAAGTTTTACTTTATTCTTATCAAATTACCTGCCATATTTCAGAACGCCTAATAGATCATCTAGTGCGTTACGAGCCGTGTCCAGACGATTTTAGGCACAGGTTTGAAATTTGGAAACGAATCTCTGCACGTACACACAACTGCGTGAGCGCGAAGCAGATAGCTTCGATGCCTTGTCGAGATCGTGTTGTTAAAAATAAATCCTTCGCATATCGAAATCCGACTCGATTGCAGAGTGTTCATCCAAGCATCAACGACGATTCAATAACTTTCCGAGACATTCCCTCGCAACGATCACTATTGTTGTGTGAATGCAATTACCACGCAAGTGCATTTCTTCCGCTATTTCAAAGGACACGTAATAGGATGCATTTCTCGGTAGAGTAACGCAAGTGTCAACAACAAATGCACTTTCTCGAGCCACAAAATATCCTCGAGTGGTGTCTTCTTGGTCTCTAGTTGATTCTCGATCATTGATAGGCACTGACGACGTTCCTCCTCTCGTTGTTTCACCGCGCGCGCGACGACAGTTTCCGAGGATCGATATCAGCGGATCAGCGTCTTTGTCCGAACGAAAGGTTGATGTGAGGGTGGGGCTCGTTGTTCGAGGCAGGAGCAACAGGACACGATTTCCTTTTCAAATCGCGTCGTTTCCGGAGTCTTCTCAAGGGCTCTTCAGTCTGTCCCATATGCTTCCAGTATGGAGCAATTGGGCGACCGAAGCCGATCCTCTTACGATCACAGAACTGTCTCCATTTCGGCGATTTCCGTCCTGGTAGCGTCATCATCCGGAATCCTATGACAAGCAATCGCTTACTTTCGTAAAATCTTAGGTATTTCCGAGCGCTAAAAATAAACAGTTGTACAATATTGGCGAGACACAAGTTCAAGAAAATAACAGCTCTAATGTGAAGTGTGCGAAAGGAACGAAAGTCACTGTGCTTAAAATTTATTACATTAATACAAAGTAGAATAAGTTTGGAGAATAATACTTGCATATAAATACACGTTACGTTGTTACCAGGAAATAAATAAAAAAAATCCAATAGTTCCAACAATTACATACATTTAAAACCTTAAACATAGAAATACGTGTTCTGAAGTTCGACGTAATAGATTTTGTGTCGCTATGTAATGCAGCTTACGTCATTTATTAAAATTAAATTAATGCTAAATCATGCACTTTCAATGCGTACAATTGGTAAATCTATAATAATTGGATGGTACGATTAAAAATCCATTTACATAATAATTGAGCGGTACGATTAAGAAATTGTTCATCTTGCAAAATATTTTATAACGTCGTGTAACATTGCATTTTAATAATCGGTCTTTACGACGCCCCGTAATTCCTCGTCTTTGTTACCTGTAAATCTCCGTGGGCAAGAACGTCTCGGCGTACTCTGTGCTGACCACATGATTCCTACTCATATCCCTCGGACGGGCAACCTCGACGGCATCGATGTACCTGAATATAAACGATCGGGGATTATGTCATCGCCATCGTAACATCACGGAAGTTGCCTCCTACACGTATAAAGTAAACTTTATCATGCTCCCCGTCTTCCTCGTCTTCGCCCCGGTCTCACGGCACTTTCTCAATATTCCCACACCCCGAATTAATTTTCTCCCCGCGTCGTTGTCTCGCCGTCGCCGTCGGACATTACAGGTAATTAATCGATTAACCGCCACAAACCACAACAGGTAATTACCTATAATGTGCACGCTGTTGTGCACCGACACGCCTGAGTTATCTAGCTGATTCCTTTCGGAAATCGCATGCCATGCTCTCGAGCACATTAAAGTAAAAAAAGAAAAAGAAAGAACAAGTCCGTGATAATAAGAACGGCACGAAAGTGTATGAACGAGAGATACTTGATGCGTATAACTTATGCAGACGATCTACCAATCTACAGAGAAGCGAAAAGCGGCTATACCTAATCTCCACGTCCCTGTTTTTCTACCTATTGGTCTCTAACGAGGCGCCCGCCGTCGTCGATCCGCGTGACGCTCGGCGTCTCTTTGTCTCTTCTTTCGCTGCACATTCTCTTTTCTTCGTTATAGTAAATAGGTGAAGTCAAGGGGAACGGAGGTTGCGCGAGTTTACGAAACAACAGAGCCTCGCGGGATCGCGCGAGTCGTGGCAAAATTTTTACGATCGGTGGAACGAACTTCTTCTACACCGTGTGAGACCGATTGCAGTGACGTAGGAACGTAGCTAAATTCAAAGTGTGAGTGCCAATTGTGTCGTGGGATCAGAGTGTAATTATATGCAGAAGGATGTTTCGATATTTTAGAGAAATGGGGGCTTGGCAAAAGAGATTTGCTCTCGTATGGAGCGATTCGTCAGCGATTACAGCCCGCGCTGCAGAATAGTTTTCGATCAATTGTAAAAAGGCAGGTCGTAGGCAACTGACGACAATTATTAACAGAGTGCACTAAAATGACTTGCATAGACTGTGTTAGATGTTTTTGTGTTATTGTCCAAGATGGGCAGACGTAAAATGAATCAGAGCGGCATCTGTTAGCGGGACGTTCTTCTCTAAAAAAAATTCTGGCAAACGAAATTGTTACAACAGAGAGAATTTGATCGAAGCAATAACGAAAGAATATTTTAGTGTTAGTTCCTGCGTCACTGAACGCTCTTACGTGTAGTTTGGGCATTGCGGACTTACGAATCGAAGTATGGCGGTAGCGGATGCGGAGCTTCCACCGCCAATGGCTCCGGTTGTGTAAGGCGGTCCGAACTTTGGAAGCACCCTCGCCACCAGCCGAGACTTCCGGATTTCCTCCTTTAAAAAAGCCGACGTGGATATGTGCCAGACTTCCTTCTCACGTTGTCGAACCACCAATTATCGCTTAACATGACCCAAATAAACCATTTCCCGTTCACTCGAAACGACACCCCGAGACACCCCCGTGCAATACTCCACGCGGGTGGAGGTCTTTTCTTTTCTTTTCAAACGACGGACGGTGGATTCGCTTCTCACGAAACAAGAACAGGTTTTCCGATTATCTACGCAGTGAGCATGTGGTACCGCAGACGGACAATAGAGAAGAAATCAAGTGCGCGTGCCAATAATTGATACGATATCAACGCACTTACGTAAGCATAAATATGTACACAATATACAGGTTTCCGAAACTAAATAGAAGTAGCAAAGCGAGCGTTTTCAATGAAAGATATCTAAATGAATTCACCCCTTACATCACATTTTTACTCATGAAAGATGCAAATTTAATTTTTAGAGAAATACATTTAAATTACAAATTTTTCAAGCGCCAAAGAAAAAAGAAAATATTAATGTCTGTTAATAAATACTACTTAATATTGCATTTAACATATTGCGATTTTAATATAAAACAGTAAAGCGTGAAAACCAGATCCTGTCAGCAACGAGGAAAGAGGTGAAGAAAAGAAGAAACGAGATAGAATCTCTAAGCGATATTAAAAGCCGTCGTCACTTTTGACGTCTCATCGAAAACGCACGTTTCGCCCTATCATAGATAGATGCATGCTGTGCAAACAAGTTTCCAAGTGACGTTAGAAAGTAGGTTACTACTTAAGCTCGGCCCGTAAATTATTCGTTTTGGAGGATATACGGGCTTCAATGTTGCCACTTGTACAACAATGATTTCCGTAGTAATTAAACTTTAGCGTGGAAATTTGCATGAAGAACCGAGCATAAGTTTGTTCAAGATATTAGAACAAAGACAAATAGAATAACTGTGCAACTGCATGCGTAGACTTTTATCACGGGTCCACTTCCGCTTTGCGAAGTAATTTCCGGAGAAGAGCGAAGAGTATGTGGAAAGATGAAGAGACTCAAAAGAAAGCTTTCTAGAACAAAGGCTTCCAGTTTTGGAGATGGAAAACAAGCGACAGCACTCTGCGAAAAGTATCGCTCGTGAAAGCGTGAAAATCGTAATCTAGAGAAGAATGATAGAATGCGTAGTGTTGGTCGGCGGTTTAAACGTCTTGTTTTCTTGCCGCGAAAACATTTCCTTGCTCAATTAAATTATGCTAATTAATCTTTCAATGTCGACACTGAATGTAATTCTGCAACGTATTAATTGTTGCCGGATAGAAAAATGTTTTGATGTAATTCAAGAGAGAAAATATTTCTCGCAAACAATTCTTATTTTTTTAACCCCTTTAAATTGCTTTCGCAAACACTGTATTTTTATTTGCGCTGTATAATAGTTATATTTACAATATCCTCAAATATACACTGAAAAAACAATCGCGTTTAAAATATAAATTAATTCAATTTTTGCTGTGCTGAAATATTGCGCTGAAATTGGATAGAAAGTTTATTGCAGCTAGATATTATGCAATATTGATTCACTTTTATTTTCACGCTGTAAAGCCAACGTATTTTCTTTTACTCCCGTTTAGTATTAAAAAATTGTCAATATCAATAACTTGTAATATCAGATTTCCATTTTCTCATTTGAACCGTGACGTTTTCGGCATTAAAAGATTAATCGTATCAAAAAAATGCCTCATTTGTCATACAGACTTCTGACGCAGATGTTAAGGCAATTTAATTTCGAAATTTGCGAACTCTTCCCGTTTTACCAGAGAGAAATAAAATCAGTCGAACGGAAAACTGTTATGAACGAATTGCTCGCGAGGGTATGACGCTTTATCGGATATTAAGCGACCGAGTTCGAAGATAATCGAACGGCATGACTGATCATCGGGAAGGACAAGCCTCTGCCTTCGCAAACTGTACGATTCAACTTGATCAATTCAGCTCTTCGCTCGATCGCATTGCAAATACCCGGTGCAGTCGAGTACTTTCGTAGCTTAATACGGAATTAAACGGTATTAGAAGAAGGGCGGAGCGTACTTGGTCTGGGTGGGCTTTATTCCATGGGCCTCGAGATCCTTCTCAAGCTGCCGTATCCTGATCTTGGCCATGTCGAGCTCGTGCTTGACCTTCCACAAGTGGGTGTCGCAGATCGGATCCTTGCATCTGTGGTGCCTCAAGATGTCCTGCGCTTCGTACACTGCACCCCGAAAGGTCAACGACTTCCCTACGCTCTTTAAATAACAAAATTTCCGCATTATCACCCCCCTTCGTCACCTTTTCTTTCCAATACAAATCTTCTAAAGTATATGGAAATAGATATCGAGCAATAGGAAAAATGTCTATGCAAGAATGTACAAATATATTTGTAAAGAATTGTAGGAATATTTCTATTAAAGTGTTGTTCAATATGCGCTTTTATCCTTTTATCAATTATTGCCAAGACGTGTCAAACATATATTTTGTATTATATTTCGTTATTAAATTCTAATAAATTGTTACTAATTAAATTGCTCTGTTGAAAAGTGCACGAATTCTATCGTTATTGAAAAATAGTCGGTTCAGATTGGTTACATATTTGTAAAAAATATCATTAATGTTTACACATCCGTCGTCTCCTGTGGGTGGTTTTAAAACTAAGAATGACCTAGTTCTAGAAATAGCACAGAAAATTACGAGATTTCTGCGATATTAAAATCCACGATGCTTACTAGGCTGAAAATGGCGCATGTGCCACCGTCGTCGCTTTTCGCCAGGTGCTGTCTGATGTATTTGAAATACAGATGTTCCAGAAGTAAAAGAACTGCCGCCAAAAGTATGCCCATCATCAATAAGAGAAACGCGCTCAAGAATTGCTCCAATGCTAGGGGATCACTACTCTTTTGTACTTCCCTCCCAGGCTTACACGTCCCAGTCATCCAGTATCTTCTCAGTCGCTCCAGATCTCCTAAAATTAAAAGAAACGCATGTAGGGTACGCAGAAATAAATTCGTCAAGTGAAATTTAAGGATCCGTGTATTTTACACACACACACACACACACACACACAGAAAGAACTTTTAGATGTGAAAGTATTCGTTGGGACGCTTAAAAAGATTTCAAGCACAAAAGTACCGTTATCCCTGTAGTCCAATAGCCGTTTGTTGAACATTTGTAAGTATTTTGAATTCCTGGAAAATGCCAGACCGTATCCCGTCATGGCGTACCACTGTCCGACTGTCAGCAGTCGACAATCCTCGTTCTGGGCGACCGAATAATCCAAGACTGTACCGTCGTAAATGAACGCATCCAAATCTCTGCAGAAGTTATAACAGAGTGTTCTGTACCTCATTGCATCTCCGTAAGGGTACTTTAAATCGACATTACGACGAAGCCAACGACTCGAAGGATCCTCTTTTAATTTATGGTATTTACATAATACTATACATGGAATTAGATGCTCCACTTTAGAGGCGATTAAATTCCTTTAATGAATTTTAAACCGACGTATTTCTTCATACCATTCCTTTACTACGTTTGTTGAAAATACATTTATACGTAACGCGAAAATGTAAATGAATCAAATAAAATATTTTATTTCAGTTATTAAAATTTCCTGCAATTTTTATACGAAATCTGTGCACTGAACAAAAAAACACGCAGATTTAAAAATTTATTTTTTAAATAGATATCCGCACATTTGTTTATAGGGAAATTTTATACCAATATGTATTTGAGAAATAAAATTAAGCGTGGAAACGACCTTACTGGCACTCCTTTATTCTATTACACTTTACAACGTTTCGGCCAGTAATACTGGTCCTCTCCTTTCGCCGTTCCAACGCCGATGACTAGACGCAATGTACTGCGATCTCTTTAACGTTTGACATAATTTCACATCTTAAATTTCGATTTAATTTATTATATATATTTATTAATTTTTTATGATAAAAAACAACTTAATTGTTATTTCGATTCCTTGCTTCGTGGGACCATATATTATAGCTCTTTCTGTTCTTCAGACATTTGCGGGTATTAATGTAAGTTCGTTACCTGTAGAGGACCAGTGTTACCCTAGTAGCATAGTGCATTGGCTAAACGTTGGCCCAACACAACCAAATATTGGGCCAATGTTTGTTCAATGCACTGTGCTATTAGGGTACTGGCCGAAACGTTGTAAAGCTTTAATAGAATAAAGAAGTGCCAGTAAGGTCGTTTCCACACTTAATTGTATTTCTTAAATTCTCGACTAGCGTTAATATATCTGCTGTTGGAACATATACTTGCTACGCTATGTTACTTGTAAATAATCGTTTCGAGTTTTCTTTGTCAAGTACAATTTTTAATTGTACAACTGTTGATAAATAAATTTAGAATTACATCGCAAAGTTGCTTACCCACTGACGACAGCTTCGACGCCGTCTGCAACGCTGCTTTTGTTGAAAGCCCTCATATAAGAGTGCATCTCTTTGAAGTATTTCGCTAACGTACTATCTGTGTGACTCCACGGTACTGTGCCGAATTTGAACATTGGTTTGTGAGAATAGGGTTTAGCGAGCCTATGATCGTCCACGCCGCTGAATTCGTGGAACTCCTCCCGCGTGATCATGAAGGCAGCCAGATTGGCAGTGTAAATGGCGAGGAAGACCACGGCAAATAACGCCCAGACGTTTGTCATAAATCTATGTAGACAGTACATCGACATTTTGTATTAACAATTTTTATAAATTCTTTGAAACTACCATACGTGTGCATTATAAATGTTTAATCTAGACATTTCGCAAATTTTCGGAGAATCAATAAACACGTTATTTAAATCGACCAGATAATGTTTGCTAATAAATATTTTAATAGTAATTCCTGTTTTTAATATATGTATATACGAAGCATGCGTTAAATTTTAACAAGCTTCCATCTTTAGCCTCCTTTCAATTTGACAATTACGATACGTTCACCTCCAAATATTCTATTATTCCAATAAACTTAATTAATTAAATTAATTTGACTCACAAAACTTGAGCTGCATCAACAGAGCGCATAACTTACGTCAAACAGTAATTTGTAATTCGAGTCAATATGATTGACGATTCATAAGTAGCCGGAGTAATTTACATTTTAGAGCGGTTGTCGCAAGCAAATGTTTGCCCAGGAACATTTATGCACAGCGGCCGATCTCGAATAATTAAGCGAAGAGGCGGAAGACTAATTTGTCGCTCGAGTTCTATCTCGGGTCGGTAATTAAAATTCGTCGGGCGAACGACGTTTCTGGGGGGAAAAGGATCCTTTTCACTGACCTGGCTGTAAATCCTCTGGGAGAGTCGATATGGACGGCAGCCTGAAATAATACGGCCCAAACCAGCCAGTACGTGCGACAAAACGAAAATCGATGATTCGTCGATGGATTGTTCTGTAGAAAGGGAAAAACTGATATCGTATTATCGTCGAAAATTTCATGCGTAACGACAACACGGACAATCGTCAAACTGTCCGTGTGCACATTGTCAGAAAATTAGTACATCGTCATCAGGTCTTTTTCAATAGACAATTTTATTTCATTGTTACGATCATGATTACAACATCGATACATTTAGACACTAGTCGTCAGTTTATGTAGGAACGTAGTGACTTTTATAAATTTCTGCAACTACATGCAACACAAATAACATGGTGACTTTAATAAAATTGTGCAAAATACATGCAAAACAAATATACATAATGCTGAAAAGAAGTTATGTTATATTATATGTATAATTATATAGGGAATATCACTATCTACATAAGAAAGACACACAAAGTAATAGATTCTTCAACAAAATTTTCGTTAATTATATAAAATTGTATAAACAACACAGGCAAATTAAAAGTCAGTATAATATTATTCTAGCAAACGTGTTCTTTTTATTTTCTGACTGGCAAGCACCGAGGCATGCACTGGAATTAATTAGTTACTATTCTAATTGACGCTATGCCATTTGTGCATTGAGAGGTGAAGGTGCGAACGAGGAAGAAACACATATACACGTACAGTTAGTAAAAAGCGAAATAAAAAATACCAGTTTTTGCGCAGCGCCTGAAGGGTTTACCTTCATGTCGAAACCGGAAGGCGATGCCCATTCGAAGAGTAGTATCATTACCGTTGCGGCGTGTATGGCAACAATGCCCACCAGCATCCACGAAGCCGTGTCGAATGGTTCTGAAAATTGCATTATTAGATGCTAAAGTGAATTTCCGTTGCAGCATTTACCATTCGCCGCGTATTTTCGTGCGGTGACGATTCGTGCGAAATTACTGCTTTTGTAAATACTCTCCTAATTTATGCAGCGATATTAACGATTCGAAATAATATTACTATCCGCCTCTGCAAATATTTTACGAAAATTTACGTAACATCGTTTATTAACAGCAAATACGGCGTGCAATTTTTCAAACGTGTATAGTCGACGTTTCTAAATATGTCATTGTAAACGTCGTTTATGAAGCGGTCTCTACAAATGCAATTCTCACCTAAAAACGCAGTGGGAGATATTATGCCTGTTCTTTTTGCTACAATAATGGCGATACCAGTTTCCATATAAGGTACAGTGAAATCGACCACCGCTTCTCTTTCCGAGTTGATCATCAACGAAGTCATCACCATGTCGGTCTTTCGGTTGACCAGATCAGCTATAAGCCCGTTCCATTTCCCATTCTGCATATAATAGTTGATAAACCGTGACATTTGTTAGATATGTCGAAAAATGTCGCTGCCGTATGCGAAATTGTTTTTATCAAACGAATCAACACACAAATAAAAATTAACACAGGTTAATTTCATTTAATACTTGTTTAGATTTATAAGTGTAAAAATATATAAACGTATAATGGAATAAAACGCCGAGAGAATTATTTTGCATGCCACGCAAGATTTAAACTGGTTGTATTCTCTCGTCACTTTTGTACCAATGGTCGTAATTTAACACGCAGTCTCGCGAGAGAGAAATGCGAAATGACGATGATGCGATAACGTGATTAGAACGTACGATAAATGAGAAATTATTTGCTTTTAGGCCATTCAAGCTGTCGCTGAAGCGTAAATATATGTCGCATCGTCGGAAGCAACTTTTGTGCAGCGGAAATTAAACGCGTCGAAAGCTCGTTCATGCGTACATTTTGTAATAACAGTCATCAATAGCGGGTCAACACACGTGCTTGCGGAGAATTATGATCATCAGATAATTCAGCTCTCAAATTACACCGCTCTAAGTCTATAGGGTTGCGACAGGGGAACGCAATGTTATCCCTATTTTTTATATTCGGCAAATGTGTCAAATATGTACAGACAGATGCGTATAAAGCGACAGGCACGCTAGGCATGCTTAGCCGCATTGCATTTTGCTCGTGACGTTACTCGTCTGCTGCAGACACGAAAGGACAGAAATTTTAAACGTCCTAAAGGAAGAAATAAGCGCGCAGTTGCGGATGCGGTAAATGCTCCGCGGGAATTTTCTCGTTGCATTACAAGACACATTTATCTTCCGTGCGACGTAAGTAAGCAGCACCTTTCATGAATTTTGCTCGAGCTTACCTCCAAAGTACCCCACTTGCCGTCTTCCACCCTTACGAGCTCGTAAGTGAAACCAATTTCCTCGGAAAACTTCTGCAGCAGATCGATGCAAAATCCACTACAGCATTGATAAAAGCTCTCATTCTTCTGTGCCGATTGGAGATCGATTCTGGAACATAAAACGAGAGCTTGCAGTACTTGTATATGTCGGATATGGAAGATCGCGTGTATTTTATATTCGCGCGTACAACTTTGGAAGAGAATATAGTAAACAATAAAAGATCCTTTAAGCCTGAGAGATTTTCGACTTATAACTTGCATGTATGTAATTTGTTGCAAGTTAGAGAGAATGTGTAGTTTCGTCGAAAATTATTAAAGGTACGTAAGAAAATGTTATTTATCTGTGAAAGATATTAAAAATGTCTAAACAAAACAGAATTATAATAAGCTACAATCGCATTTTTAAAGAAGTTCTTAACCAATGAGACATCTGCGAAAAGTTTTCCATTTAAGCGTCCTGAGTTTTTGCCTCAGGAATTTTTGGTCGTTCCTTTAAACAATTGGTCCACTCTTTATCCCGGTATAAGCAAGGTGCAATTAAATTCACCGCAGCTGTGCCATTCGGGTCAGATGTCGTCGGGGCAAGAACTGACAGCCATTGTTGGTCGCCTTTTGAGAAAATCGCCCCTCGGAATGAAGCCCTTTCATGCGTCTGACATATACAACTAACAAGATTCACTCTGAGAGTAACATTAAATTCTTTTGTGCGTTAAGTCTAAGTTACGATTAATGCTGATACACCAAGGCCCTAGGATGCAATATTATTGAGATAAACAAAATATGATATAAAGGGTGTAAAGAGAAATATAACGTTTACAATAAATACCCGTTAGTTTTATTGTATTTACGACTGTATCAACGACAAAACAGAATTATATCAATTATATCAACCAAACTATATAACGCAACAGATTTCAAAGAGTCGCGTAATAACAATTTCTCTGTTATACAGTCGTGGATCGTAAAAATTTATATAGGCTGTGCGCATTGTAATTCTCCTCGAATTACAACTAAATTGACTGATATCGTAGAACTTTTATGCGCTGTTTGCAGGGTGTTAAACATCGATTGGTATTGTTTCCTTTCCTGAGTGTTTGAAAAACGTAAACATGCCTCATGTGTAACATGGAACAGCCGTATGGTTTTGATTGCAATATGAGTTAAACACGTTTTGACACAAGTACATTAACGATGTATTGATCCTCCGAATAGTAAATTGCTTAAATTGACGATAGCGAGTAATAATTGTTTCAAACAGTTGTTCGGCCGTATTTTATTTGCAGTCGAATGAATGCGGCCGATTCCATCGAAGCGTTACTTCAAATTGCCGATTAAAAGTTTGCCGACATCGCTTTACAGACGCCGTGCTCTATTTAGCATGGTGGCCGGTAGAGTAACAAATGTTTTTTTTTTCATTTTCATCGTTGCAGTGAAATATTGAAGATTAAATTTGTTCGGAAATATGAAGCGTTTGAACGATATGCGTATAAACGTAGGTAATAGAGTTCAATACGAATCTATTTAAGAAATCTTATTTAAATTTTAGAAAGCAATACATGTTGCACATTTAAATTGCGCTCGTAAGAAATTCTCATAAATGTTGTTCGCCAATAAATTAAAATATTAGCAATCATTTTCCCCTCTCAATTGTTTTACTTTTCGTCCCGGTGCACTCTGTACGTCATAATGATCAATAATTAATCGATAAGTGTGCTTTTTCAAAACAAGGCGCTTTCAAGAAAAAAAAACCGCACGTAAAAGAGAAATAAAATCTGGAAATGTTGGCTGATAGATATAAGTCTCCGCAACGGTATATTCGGCAGACTTTTGCATTGTTTACGGTGTCGATTACGGCATTTTTGTCGATACGCTGACACGTATGCGACGCACGAAAATATCGGATTCCAATGCCCACACGTGAATAAAATTCGGTATTGTACGCTATCCTCTCTTTCGTATCATATTTCCGATTTTGAGGAATAAGTGCATATACGTTTGTGTGCTTGAGTGTTTTTATATAATTTTTATATAATTGAATTTCCCTCGAGAAGAGATTGTTTGTACAAAAGAGATAATGCTAATTAGAACCTTGTCGAAAATCTTTTACGTAACATAACATAATGCAATATGTTATCTATTTTCATACGGCATACGAAAATACATCTACAAATGTATATTAGCTGCCACACAAACGTCTTAATCTTACTAAAAGTTTGCGCCCCTTTTGTTTCAAGTGAAAATATTTGTCAAGGGGAAGAGAGCATAAAGACGAAGTCGCACCGGCATAAAATAGATAGAGGACACATATGTCTCGCGATGCGACAAGACGCGAGGTCCCAATGGAAGTATATGCCGGAATCGGTGGTGATAAAATCGAATACGTATTCGTGGGTCAGCTTGGCGACGATGCCTAGAAAAGTACCATGGCGGAGGCACCACCATAAAACGTCCCGCACTGACGTTTATTGCCACTCTCTTCGCAGTGGCACGCGGCGCGTAAAAGGTGCTCACAATTTCGAGGGAATGCGCGGCCCGCTGTTGCCGCCGAGAAAAATGTAGCGTCGCATTAAAAGTGAGAAGTTCACGACCGTAATGCCTTCAACTTTTCAGTCTCCGTCGCGTACTGCGTCGGATAAGAAGCGAAAACTTTGATGTTACTCCTCGGAGTTGACATTTTCATGAGATTTTGCGACACTGCCCGATGTGAAGGGGCATTATGTCTTCTGCGATAGCTTATTTAACGTAACAGACCCTCGTAAATTAATTTTACGCGGTGTATTACGTTGTTTATCGCTTGGAAGAGATTGAGAATTTACTTTTGTTATATTTATGATAATAAGTAGACACCTAAAGATTAAATATTGCCTTTCGTTTCCTGGAAATATACTTGCAATAAGAGTACAATAGGTGTACACCTATGAATACTACACGGGAAAAAATTATGCAACATCAGTAAATAAAATAACAATCAGTATTAATAGAAAATAAAATGTTAGATAGTTGTCTTAATAATCTGGACATTTAGTTAAATGTCTAAAATTTAAATCCATAGCAAAAACACTTGAGTGAATTATTTTTGTTTGTGGCAGCCCGTGACGTTAACATTTAATTCAAGCAACTTCATTTTCTTTTTAATTCAACAGCATTTTTTCCCGCGTATTTTTCGAGACACTTAACTGATTCGCTTTTAACAGTTACAATTTTAAATTAAATATACGGCGCGAATGATAAATTGTTCATGTAAAAGCATTCAAAATTATACACGCCGAAACTGTAGCGCTTCTCATGAATTATTTCCGAGTTCCTAAAGCCAGGATCGATAAAGCTGTACGTAACAAACTTTCTTATTGTTTTGACGTCGAACAGTGACGTTAACGTATCTGCTTTAAAAGATATGTGCTACCAATAATTTATGATAACGTTATATAATTCACACACCGTTGCACGTTACACAGATATATCTTGTAACTTTTCATCAGGATGGCGACGAAACTATACATTGCTAGAGGACGGAAATGAGCTCTTCCTTCTCTGAAGTAAGATTCTTGGAAATTGCGTAATATTATGGTAACTTTGAAATTTCATATATACGAGCTGTCGCTGCTAGCTCTCTGATAACATCTCCAAGATTAAACACTTGGACATCTCCACACTCAATGTTGCAATAAGTAAATTTGCGCATTGCGATGCGCAAAATTATTGCCGAACTAATATGAGTTTACAATTTTTAACAATAATGATTTAATTTATTATCACGTAAGAAGCTAAGCGATAACTAAAAAATTCTGATACGATAAAGTTGGTATTATGTTTTATTTTTACTTCTTCATTCTTCATATTTTTTTTTAAATAGCGCTTGTCTTCATGCGAAAAACAATACGGCCAGATGCATTTACTTACATACGTCAACACTTGTCAACATTTTTAATATATGAACAAAACCTCAACTTTCTTAAAATGTTTTCTTATTTCCGAACAAATATTTTATACGACACAATCTATCATATTTCACGATAAAATTTATTTACTTATTTACATCGAATAAAGATCGCGTGAAGGTAAAACATTTTCTCCGAGTCTACGCTCCCGAAAGGAATTATGTAAACAGATTTTGTAATCCGTTCTTCATACCGTCGTTTAATCTGCATATGTTATACCTTTTTACATCATGTTCAGTATATTTCGTCTATGTGTTATTATAATCGCCAACAATGAAACAGACCGATCCTATAGCCAATTGCGCAAGAAACTAAATTATCTAACCGCAAAAATAAATGCATAGCCACGATTTACACGACGAGTGACGCACAAGACTCTTCCTGCCACTCGGCAATAATGGAGTGCACTCAAAGTCACGGACACGTTTGTCTGACAGTAACGCACGTCTACTACTGCGAGCGGGTAATGTAGAGTAAAACTGGTACGGGTGCATTATATAAAACGACATTAATCACGAGCTTCATTTGCGTAATTTTAGTTCAGCGGACGATGCCTGACGTTGATGTTCCCAGAGACACGTGTGAAAATGTGCCAACTCTATTGGCCGCAATTGATGAAAATTCTCTTTCGTTCCTCATAATGCGAAGAACCGACTCCCCATATTGCCTTGGCTATTCATATATTCGGTGCATTGATTGCCACGACCGCAAGTGCCGTAAAAATGTACTTTAAATCCGCATCACGGATCCAACGACAGTGATTTGTCACAACAGACAGCCGGTTATCGTAGATCCGTTTTGCCGCGCATCAGAAACATGAAAAATGAACGGCGGCTCTTTGCGCAGCATATTGTGATCGCTTGACGCCTGACAAATAAATCGTTTCTCGAGGATTAAAGTAGCCAGTACGACCGTGATACGTTTCTGCGATTAACCTTTTGATCGAGATCTATTCTTGCTTCGGTAAATCATGTTTCATCACGTTCTCACTTTCTCCTGCTTTACTTGCAACACTTAAATTATTTTTCTGAGCCGATAATTATATTTCGTAGTTCAAATTAACAAAAGTAATCAAAGGAAATACATTTATTTTATTCTGCTTAGTTTCTTGGACAAATTAAAAAAGATGTTTATACCGTGTATTTAATAAGAAATATATTTTAGGCATTTG